TAAGAAATTACAGACCAATATCCTTACTCACAGTGACATATCAAATCCTAGCGAAATTGTTAGCCAACAGAATACGAACAATAACTAGGAACTGCTTCCATCTGGACCAAACCGGTTTCATTCCAGGGAGGTTTATATTGGACAATGTAATGACCCTTATAGAATTTGTCAGATACATACAAGACAAAAGAATGAACGCTGCCATCCTTTTCTTCGATTTTGAGAAAGCCTACGATCAGGTGAATTGGAACTTCCTACAGCAAAGTATGGAGAAAATGGGGGTGAGCCCCAACTTCAGGAAATGGGTCAAGATTCTCTATTCACAGGCTCATGGAAGAGTCCAGGTCAACGGTCACATATCACAGCCTTACCAAATGCCACGCTCTATTCGCCAAAGGGACCCTTTAGCAGCTCCGATCTTCCTATTCATCATCGAAGCCATCGCGTCCTTTCTGCGAAAGGATCCCTCCATAGAAAGACTGCTAGAGGACAACCAACACACACCCTACGTCCCTACCACAATCCTCTTCGCTGATGATCTGACAGTCCTAATAAGGGCGTCTGACTCCTCCTTCGAAGCGCTGACAAGGGCAATGCAAGCATTTAAAATCGTCTCCGAAATGAAAATAAACTGGTCCAAAACTACAGGATGGTGGTTAACAGATCCACAAATCAATACCCCAAGAAATACACTTGAAGGAATGAGTTGGTCTGAAGACAATGAACCCCTGAGATTCTTGGGAATCCAAGTATCCAAATCTGGGCCGAATCATTCAACGACCCCAACAATCATGAGTAAAATGATAGCTAAATTGAACGCCTGGTCCAGAATCTATACTTCACTCTTCGGGAGAGCCCTGATCCTAAACGCCTCCACCTTCTCAATGTTATGGTATGCCTCAACCATTTGGACTCCGATCAAACAGGCGAAATCACAACTGAGGAGGAAGGCGGCTGCATATCTGTGGGCAAGGGACCCTTCTAAAACGCATTTCATCTCAAAAGTGGCCTGGAAATACGTCACACAGCCGAAAGCACAAGGATGCCTCGGAGTGCTCAACCCAGAGGTCCAAATAAAAGCGTTGCAGACTAAATGGATCATGAAAATCCTAACAAATGGTAACCTCCTCTAGATCGAGATGGGACTGCGTAGAATTACCTAACTCTCTAGGGTCAAAACTCCCAATAATATGCGAGGCCTGTTTTGGATAATGTCAAAATCCTGGACCATGGAATCTTCTAGCAGAAATCTAGAGGCATACGAGCCAAAGGAGAGGCAAACCTGGAGCTTTTGGAGGAATCTCTGGATAACCTGGAGGGAAATATTCCCGGCAAAGGTAAGAGAGCCTAAGTCCAAGGAAGAAGTGCTCCGCCAACCCATTTTCTGCAATCAATGGATCCTAGGACCTCAGGGCAAACTGTGGACACTTACAACATCAGACTTCAAGTGGAAGCCATGGGTAGAAAAAGGAATATGGCAAATCAAGCACCTCTGGTCACATTTGGAAGGAAGATGGAAAACGGTGGGGGAGCTTAGGCAAACATTGAAGGGATGCCACAACGTGCAGGACAACCTCAACAACATCCTAATCTCCATCCCGGACAACTGGTTAACCCTCCTGAAAAGCCCCTTCAAGTGGGCATATGGGGAATGGCTCACAAACACAAAAGACGCTATCCCGAGCATGGCTTACCTACTGCGTACAAGGGAAGGACCCGAAAACAACTGGCTTATTTGTGATATGTATGAAGTTGAAAGCCCCGGAACCACCACAAGCTTACTAAGCAAGAGCTCAGCAGGGGAGATAGCCCTCCCAGCGAACTTAGTCAGGGAGGTCAAAGTCGCGGAAAACGATAAACGCACAATCTATAGCCCTACAACAGACTTACAGGACTTAGAATTCGACCCAGCTGAATGGGCATGGAAATGAAGATTAGGAAGTCTCACAGTAGAAAAGAGAACTAACATCTTAGAGTACACCACCAACTTAGGATATAGACTAAGGACGAGATCCCACCCGATAGCACAGATCATTAGTCGAAGATGGGAAACACACCTTAATATACCACAAAGCAAAACTCATGTCAGATCGTGGAATAAACTATTGGCCATCACCTCAAGTAGGATAAGAAGTTTCCAATGGCAACTAGCTTACTTAGCCCTACCGGTCAATCAATGGCTAAACAAAAGGCGCAGCATGCAGTTGAGATCACCTCTGCAAGAATTATGTGTCATATGCCAGGAGAACGCAGTAGAGAATGTGACCCACTGTCTCTTAACTTGTCCCAAAGCAAAGCAACTGTGGGCAAGAGCAGCCAAACTATGGCACTCAATTACTGGCAAAACCATACCAAACGAGCCAGCTACGGTACTCCTAGGATTTCACACTCCCCCCACTTGGCAAACTTATGAACACTCGCTGTTCCAGGTATTGAGACTGGCCACATTATGGTCAATCTGGAAGCGCAGATGTCAGGAAACGATCGACAACTCGCAGATGCAGATCCAAGAAGCTTGGGAGGGATCACTGCAACTAATAGAGACGGAATACAGAGGATGTTGGAAAAAAACTTATAAAAAAATCATGCAAAACATAGAAAATAAAGACAAAATCATTGAGGATTTCAAAATAAAACAACTAGGAAACGGGAAAATTGCAACAATAGAAAAGGACTGTATCAGGTTTGGTCAGTGGAGAGGCAGCAGCCGATCTCACCCGCACAGCACGAAAATGCCAAGAAGCAGATTTCATCTCACAAACATAGCCATGAACTCCGATTAGTGGCCCAACTCCCCAACATATCCCGCACCCCTCACAAACACCGCATAGCCCGATTCCCCTCATCCTCATCGACACTCCAAGCATATAGCACAGACAGCCTAGCGCAGAAATCCCTAGGAGCCACAAGAGCCAGGAAGCAAGGCAGCAGCACGTTCAATGGAGTTAGGTCGGGGGCTTAACTACAACACAGACCAGAGGAGAGCAGCTAATACGGCCAAGCCCCCCCCCCAGAAAGTTAAAATAGCAAGCCTAATACATCAGACAAATAGGTGAGCCTAGGGTTTAGGGTTTAAGAGAGGGCAGGGAGCAGAAATAGCTAAGCGACCCAGCTCGAACCAACAATCCTGAATCAGAAACACTGATTAGCACACCGCACTCAACCAGCATCCGGATCAATCCCTTCTAGTCCACTACAGATAACTACGGCTACGACACACAAACGAAATAATCACTCCCCATTGAGACTAACCCAACAACATACACAAGAACACCTGCTAAACACAAACCGTACTAGCAGACGGTTTGCCAAACCTCCATCCCCCACAGACACTCTACCCCAACCCCACTACAATCCACATAAACCCCTCACTTCTGTCTCACTGCTAGCACGACTACCGCTCAATAAACCATCCTGATCCCGAACTCCCCTACCCAGACAAGACAACGCAAAAGACACCCAACCTCCCAAACCTAAACCTACACACACAAGCTATTCCCAACCCAGCAGCCTAATACCAATTTCACCCTACTTGCAGTCTCCATAACGGCACTACTTTTTAGCATTTACTAAAATGAGAAAATTCAGAACAAGGGTCACAAACCTCAAGCAGAGAGGTCTAACAAGTAGCCTCAGGCAAGCTAAACTGGATAGGGTTTAGGATTTTTGCATTAGATAGATCTGATTAAAGAGGAATTAAAAAAAAAAAAAAGATAAGTCAAGGTCCACAAGCAATCATAGATAGTAGAAATTAGAAAAGAGAGGGTATAGGGCCATGTTAGCCCAAAGAGGAGGGACAAGTCGCCAGTTCTAGTACTAAAGGCCAATCAGGCAGTCAAAGAGCTAAGAGGAACAGGCGAGATGAATCCCGTCCAAGCAAGTCCACAGGTAGTAGCATCCAAACGCAAGAAAGTAGGCTAACTTAGGCAGGGGCGAGGGCTGGTACATCCTTCCGACGAGAAGTAATCAATGCCGGCCCTCGGACTTCCCTACCATAAAGGGTTTGTGCGTGTGTGGGTCTTTCTTGTACTGCCTTTGACTTGCCGGTGGAATAGGAACCGGACTGATGCTCCCCAGAATGGAAAAGGAGCCAGAGCCATAAGGTTCTGTTTGGAAAAAAAAACAAAAAAAAAACGAAGAGACAAAGACAACTGAAATGTACTGACGCAAGAGGAGTGAACGGAGTGGGTACATACTGCATACCCAGGGATAACCTCACCGGGGAAGAATGGTCACAAGGGATACAAGAATTGATGACTCAGTGAAATGGCACTGAATGCACATATGGTGTGCATTAAGTCCCTAGACTGCACCTGTGTCACTTCCTTACCAGGGGTGAGCCTTCTGCAACAACCCTTCTGTCTGTGCAGCAGTGTAAGCCCTGTATGGGGATTCATCCAAGGCTCCACAAATATTGTGAAGTGACAATGCAACCTTTTTTTTCTGTGTCAGTGTTCTACACGCAAGAAAGAAAAGGAAAGAAGGGGGAAAAAGAATGCTTGGGCTGTTGGACAGTTTCACAAAAAAAGGAAAGAAGGGAAAAAAGGAAAGAGTGAAAAAAGAAGAAAAAGTTTAAAAGTTCCATGTAAGGAGGAGAGTTTCACAAGCAGTAGTAAGGTAGTGCGATAGGTGGTCCCCTATGTGTTATCTTCGGAGATCAGCATTCCGTCATGGAGTTCTTTGAGATGCATCGAGTCATGGAAGATTGAGCTGCACATGTGATAAGTGTGTATGCGTACTACGAGGCTCTCTGTGGATCGATAATCTTATTAATCTACTTGTATTGCCTCTTGAATCGTGATGCTTGTGTGCTTGCGTGCTTGCTTGCTCATTGTTTTATTTCTTTCTCTAGTGAATTCTAGTCTTAAAAAAAAAAGGATCTCTGTGGACGGATAATCTACTATTATTGCCTCTTCATGCTTGCTTGTTTGTTGTTGTTTCATTTCTTTCTCTATTGAATTCTATTCTGAAAAAAAAAAAAAAAAAAAAACTACTTGCAGATCCTGGAATTTCATGGCCGATTATGTATTTGAAAGCTGCATCTTGTGACAGCTGGCACATTTATCGGGTTGAAGGCTATGGGTACCTCTCTCTTGCTGGTTCTTGTCCAGGTACGGTATGAGGCACCTCGCCACTTCCTGCTTCCTTTTCCTTGTCTTCCACTTTGGACAGATTAAGGAGGAGGAGGAGGAGGAGGAGGAGGAGGAGGGAGGGAGGAAGGAAGGAAGCAGCAAAGAAGGACTGAACCAGACTATTTCCCCTTTCTCCAGTCTTGAACCTTCTTCTTCTTCTTCTTCTTCTTCTTCTTCTTCTTCTTTTTCTTCTTCTTCTTCTTCTTCTTCTTCTTCTTCTTCTTCTTCTTCTTCGACTCTTCTTCTTCTTCTTCTTCTTCTTCTTCTTCTTCTTCTTCTTCTTCTTCTTCTTCTTCTTCTTCTTCTTCTTCTTCGTCGTCGTCGTCGTCGTCGTCGTCGTCGTAGTCGTCTTCGTCTTCGTCTTCGTCTGTCCATCTTTCGATCCTGAGCTCGATGTATATGTTTTGCTTTTATACCCGGTTGCATGCATAAACTCCAACTTCAATATATTTGCGATAACACACAATCCCCTATGGCTTCGCTATCCGAATGTTTGCTGATTGTGACGGTGTCGCATGTCAACTTGCTAGACTTCTTGTCTGCCACTTCCAATCCAATCAGCCTGTGAGAGCTTACTAAATTATGACCAACATGAACCCATTGAGCAGAATGCATGAATTGACCAAACCAGAAGCAGAACTGACAAGGCCGAGGTCGTACCAACCGAAGAACGTGAGTGAACAACGCGGGAGTCTCTTGATTATGAAAGTCCTTTTCCTGCCTTCAATCAATCTGAAGACCAACAGAATACTGGTTCCCAACTCAGGTATGAATGCCTTTGTTACTGCCGATAGTCTAGCATATCGTATAACTAGCCACTGAGCTCTGTCCCACTTGTGTCAATGACAGCTGAAGAGTCTGACCGCACTGGAGCTCTTCTTCTTGACGACCAGAAGGTAAGTATCCGCCAGCCTCCCATGGCCTTTCTCACCAGCGAGGGCATCCCCTACCTCTCACCACCCTTCTCCCACTGCTCGGCATCTACCAAGCTATGGCACCCATCGTCCACACGGCACCACCGGTGTAGGCGGTTGAGCGGCTAAGGCCAAAACTTAGGTCTTACCGCCCCAGCGTACCTGCACGTGCGGCGTCGGGCCTTGGATTCCCACCCACTTAGGCTCGAAAGTCCTCTGTGATACCCTCACTCTTGCAGTCGCTTTCCTTTGAGAGCTCTAATATATCCTGTCAGACATTGGGGTGCAGATTTCATTTCTTTCCCCCTGGTATACCACTTATCTGCACTTAAGTCCATATGATGTCTGAAGCGAACGCAGAACTATATTTGTGGGTTCAGTGGCCGGCATCTGCCTGTTGGCTTAGGCACTGGCATATACCGATTGAGTGAAGTAATGCTGCTTTCGACTTTGCTCATATATGCTTGTCCTGCTTTGAGTCTTTTGTAGCTCGGAAAATTTGTGCTCCCATTCATTGGTTCCTTGCACCGATGTTTCCAACTTCAGAAACATTACTGGCTTCTTTAAAGCCCCTAGCAGGCTAGCTGTGTGACTCAATCACTCGTTCAAAGCAAATATAATTGCTGGTTGGATCAAGGTCAGATGGCACTGCCATCTACTGATCAGTGACCGATTGGGTGTATAATTTAAGTGTTAAACGGAACTTAAACCACGAGTTCACATGACGAAGCTACCTTCCAAAGGGCTGCGAGCCTGCAACTTCGCCTTTTCAAAGTTGCCTGCCGCGCTCACTACCAACCCACGCCCGAAACGAAAAGCTCTTACCACGTATACCGGTAAGAGCACTACTTGAGTTCGTGTGGACTCGTGGTTTGAACCCCGATAACTAAACTCCTTGACCAGAGGGGTATTCTACTATTCGTACGACTAGTTCCCCGTTTCTCTTATAA